TGTGTGTGTGTGTGTGTGTGTGTGTGTGTGTGTGTGTGTGTGTGTGTGTGTGTGGTGGTATTGGGGTTTGATCTTAGGGCCTTGTGCTCACTAGGTAGGTACTATACCACTTGAGCCATGCCTCCTGCTCTTGTGAGCAGTTCTTTTACGGTTATATACAAAATGCCTGGCATGGTGATGTTTGCTGTAATCCTAGCAATTTGGGAAATGGAGATAGGAAGATCAGGGTTCAAGGCCAGCCTGGGCGGCAAAAAGTTAGTAAGACCCTATGTCAAAAACTAAGTATGCAGTCCCAGTTACTCAGGAGGTAGAGGAAGAAGGATCGTGGTCCAAGCCTGGCCCTGGACAAAAGTGCAAGACCCTCTCTGAAATAGAAAAGCAAAAGTGGCTAGGGGCAAGCTCAAGTGGTAGAGCACCTGCTAACAAGCACAAGATCCTGAATTCAAACACCAGTACTGCCCTCCCCTGCAAAAAATTTTGGACAAAATGCCAAAGACTGGAAATAAAGTCAGTCTTTATTTGTGTAGAATAAATCTGGATGGGCCCCTAATTAAAAAGTATTTTGTTTATTCTGGTAAAATATGCACCCTACAAAATTTAGCACATTAGCTATTTTTAGGTGTAAATTCCCCAGCTGTGCAGAATGTGTCATCTGAGCAGAGTTTTAAAGACAAGGAATCTGAGACATGCACACATGTCTTATGAATCATGCATCCTCTGACTTCTCAGTCCTGTGCTCCAGCTTCATCCAGCTGGGGCAGACTAATGGTCCTTCTTGGAGTAGCCCTCACCTGGTGGGATAAAAGGGCAAAGGCCCTGGTCCACTATGGAAACCCATGAAATCTGTATGTCCTAGGAAACACCCCTGGTTCTTGCCAATGTCTGATTCCAAGAAGTTCTGTCCCAATGCTACATGAACCACTAAAAGTACTAATATTTCAGCTTCCAAACTACGTGTCACATGGGTCACTGTATCCAGAAAGAAACCTTAATGGTTTACCTGAAGGACTCCAGTTTTGTCATTGGACACCTGGTACCCATCATCCAATTAAAGGGCTGCCTTTCAACTTTTGGATTTCATAGAACTTTCCAGAACTGTAGGTCTTTAAAGGATAGGTCTTGAGAGGCTGGATTTTGTTGACCTTGCATCTTTTGAGCAAATCTTTGTGTGTGGTGAAAATCAAACCCAGGGCCATATGCATGCTAGGCAAGTGCTCTACCACTGAGCTACACCCCCAGTCTTTTAATGCAAACTTTGCCATTTTGAGAGCAAATCCTCTTTGCCTTGGCTGAGGCTCCTGCAGTTGCTCTCAGATTGGGTACTACTTTTGGCCAGTGCACTTTAATCTGTATACTCACTCTTGAGAGCACTGAGTCAATGAAATCTCTTCCCACCAAAAAAACAAAAACAAAAAACCAACTAGGTAAGATTGGTAGATTAAGGAGATCATTCAGAGGCCCAAATCTGAGACCGGGGGGAGGGAAGTGGGAGACAAGAGTGCATGTCCCAAAGGTTAGGATATCTGAAGTTGAACACTAAGTCCAGATAGCAGCAACCCTTGAGAGGAGGGTTGATGGCAATATCTCTGGTTCATCACAGTGACCCAGGATGGCAGGTGGAGGGACTGGAGCACCCACTTGTAAAGATGCTAAGGATACAGGAGGGCACCCCAAGATTTAGATTAAGGTAGAGCATAATTGTGGGTTATGAATTCATCATTTCCTTTTCCTTATTGCTGCCCCCTTCCTTCCGTTCACCCGTTTGTATCATGTACTTCCTGACCCTTGCTCACTAAGCACCTCATCTCCCCCTCTCTGCAAAGCTCCACTAGTTCCTTCTAGTTCAGGAATGTCTCGTGGCTGCTGCCTTGACTTTGCCAAGCTCTTAATTCCTGGCCTTCAGAACCACTGTTCCTTCCTGAAGCTTTCCCCACTTCTCCTTACCTCTCAGATACGTAATCCCCTGGTGGATGGGGATAGTCTTGATATTTTAGAGATTATAATTCTGACAGACCACCCATACCAAGGTTTGTTCAGAAAATGAAGATAATTTGGAGCAGGGGCTGATATCTGGTACTTAGAACTGGCACAGGTTTTCCATAAAAGCAGTGCTGATAAATTATGGTTTTAGGCTTTGTTAGGCTAACCTGGTAACTCACCCCTACCTATATCATTGTTCCTATGGGGGCACATTTATACATCCTCATAAAACAAGAGATTATCTCATTTTCATCCTCTATCAAGTCAAAGATCCTGACTTTCATTTCTTTTATTAATTCATGATGGGGCTCTGGGGATGTAGCTATGTGGTAGAGTGCTTGCTTAGCATGCATGAGGCCCTGGTTCTATTTTCAGCACCACAATAAACAAATAACTGCAAGTTGGAGATTACTTGTAATTTCTTCTGAACAACAGAAACTGAAGAGGTTTGAAAAAATAAAAATCAACTCCAAATTATTTTTTAAAACAGAGCTGCATGAAAGAAAATAACTCCAAGAGTGCTAAAAGAGGTCTAGGGCTTTTACAACCAATACAAGTGAAATGTTAGTATGGTTTTGATCCATTTGTTCTATTATACTTTAATCTTACTAATAAAGGTATTTGTAAACTTCCAGGTATACCATTTTTAACTTTCCTACAAAAGCACTTCTGAAGATCATTTAGAAAAACAAAAAAACTTGGTGAGATTCCAAAGACTTAAGTACTTTAAATAACAGCCAACATCAAACTGCCAGAAAACAGGGTGGAATCTAAAGGCACCAGGAGTGAGGTCAGTCATCCTAAAAAAAAAAAAAATCAAGACTTTCCTCCAGTGGTGCTGGCACAGAGAACTTGATTCCAAACTGCTACTTGTTGCAGGAAGAGCAAGCGGCAGCCAAAGGAGAACTAGATGCAAATGTTCTTCCCTTAAAAAGTCTGGCATAAAGAATGAGGGAAAAGTTAACTTGTGTTCAAGAAATTTTGTCCAACATGAACTACACAGGAATATTAAAGTTCCTTCAAACAGAAAATCTAGATTTTTTTTGTGTGTGTGAAAAGAAGCTGTTTCAAACGTACTTGAAAAGACAATGAGGAAAATACTTTCCATGGAAGAAGACAGTTGGACAGTCTGTTAAATAAACTTGCTAGGAGTAAAGCAGTGCAGTAGGCAATGCCAGCCATTTGGGAAAGTATAAGTGGAAGGTTAGCTAGCAACAGTATTTCTCTATTTTGTCGAAGACAGCTTTAGCCTGGCACAGCTTTGCCATTACAAGTAGTCAACCTGAAGTCTAATACTGGTCATGAGGCCCTTCTGGGAGAAAAGGATTAACAAACAGTTCCTCAGACAGTTTCATTATTTCTCAGAAATCAATTACATTTAAGAATGAAGTCTATGATTACCATGGTTTGAAAATGAAGAGTCTAAAAGAAATCATTGTGAGGTATTTTTGAATAAAATTTAGATTGCACATTAATTCTCCTTGGGATAGTATCCAACTTGGTTGTCAAAGGGGGAAAAGCACATCAATGAGAAGACTTGACCAAATAAACAACATGGTGAGGCAAAAAACTAGAAAACAATATAAATTTGTACTCTTGTATACCTGAAAATCCAGCATCATGTATGATGCGAGGTCTGCTGCCAGCAGGAGCTGTGTGTACCCTGGCGACTTGAACCAAGGCTGCAGTGGCCCTGAACAAATTAAATCATGGGAGAAATGCCCTCCACGATCCTGTTCAAGCAGGAGCAGTCTTTTCTCACCAGAAAGGCTCTGAAATGAGTTTATATTTTTAAAACTTTCATTCTCAGGTGGGTGGGGACTCCTAAAATGCCCCAA